CTCTGGGGACTACTCCCTGGAGCAGCCAGGACCTGCCCTGCTGGGAGCTGTCCTGGGCATGGGAATGGTTCAGGTTCTGCTTTGTGTCTTGAAATGAACCAATAAGGTGGCACCAGGAGTTTGTCTAAGCTCCTTTGTGTGTCTGATCCAGTTGAGGGGGCGGAATGTGCTCCCACTTACCCAGCAGGAACGCCAGGCCAGTCCCCACCGGCGCAGACTGTCCCAGCGCACTCCCCGCAGCAGCACCGGGGCAGGAAGCAAGGGCCGCTGCCTGCACAGCTGCTTCCCTCACTTCAGGTGGTCCAATTCCACCCTCTAGGCCAGGGGTAGGAAAACTTTTTGACTCGAGGGCCACAATGGGTTCTTAAACTGGACCGGAGGGCCGGAACAAAAGCATGGATGGAGTGTTTGTGTGAACTAATATAAATTCAAAGTAAACATCATTACATAAAAGGGTACGGTCTTTTTTTTTTTAGTTTTATTCATTTCAAATGGGCCGGATCCAGCCCGCGGGCCGTAGTTTGCCCACGGCTGGTCTAGTGTCTTCCATGGTAGCATGTCACCTGTCCTACTGCGGCTTTTTAAACACGTTTCTTTAAATCAATTCAAATGTGTTTGCTGAAATGTATTTTTAAAGGAAATATTACCCAGGACCACAACCCCCCATCTCCAACTCTGAAGTCCAAGAAAGTCTGCAAATGGAAAGTTTTTTCTAAAATTTAACACGAACTTACTTGCCAGCTGAGCCTGACCTGAACGGATGTGAAGCCATTTAGAGTCTCTATCTCAATTAGTGTGGCTGGCCAGAAATATCAGTTTCCCAGCAGAAATACCAATGCGTGTGCTTACTGGTGCTTCCCCAGGTACTGCTGGGGCTGAGAAGTCACATACTGTACAGTCAAAGTGATCTTTCTAAAATCTAGAAAATTCTGAATTCTAAAATACACCTGTCCCCAAGGGTTTGGGATAAGGGAATATGAACCTGTCATGTCATTATAAACAGAAAGTCGGTGCCATTTGCTATGAAGAGAATACAACTTTTAAAAAAAATACAACTAGCTCGGCCAGTGTCGCTCAGCAGTTGGGCATCGACCTATGAACCAGGAGGTCACGGTTCATTCCCAGTTGGGGCACATGCCTGGGTAGTGGGCTCCATCCCCAGTATGGGGCATGCAGGAGGCAGCCAATCCATGATTCTCTCATCACTGATGTTTCTATCTCTCTCTCTCCCTTTCTCTCTGAAATCAATTAAAAAATATATTTTAAAATAAATAAATACAATTAAAACATAAGTTAAACATTTAAGAAAAAACTCTTTTAAAAAATGCTGAAATGATCTTTTGACACGTCCGTCGGTGGCATGCAGCTCGCCCTGGCCCCTGAGCAGAAGCCAGCGGTGCCTGCAGAACGCAAGGCCCGCCATCTGCTTCCTGGTGTGATATGAAATGGGGTCAAGCTTCAGAAACGGAGGACCTACTTTGAATATCTCAGCAGGAAGGCATCTGATTGCTGATGGTTGGAAATACGGCATCAAATCCTTGTCGAGCACCCGGAGCTCTTCCTTCGTTAATCCCGCTGGGGAGAAAAAGGAACCACAGGATTTGCTTCAAGACAGCGGAACGCAACTTGTTTTATTAATGATGCTGCAGAAGGTGCGGTCTGCGTGGCGGAGGTGCGCGTCCCTCCTGCAGAAGGCCCTGAGAGCCCCGCTGGAACTGTGTCCTAATCAACTCAGAAAAGCAACGTGGGTCACGTTAGCCCTGATTGGTCTCTTATGGTGAAATGTATACTCGGAAGGTGCATTTTCAGATCAAGTGTAAACCTATTTAGCAGTCAATTCCATCACCTTCTAAACCACTTTTGGGTGCACAAAACCACCAAGAGAGCTTGTTCAAAAGGCAGACTTACGACCCCACCCTCTGCAACTCCGTGTGCTGACATCAGGTTTTATGGGAACTATACAGATGTCGCTACACAAGCCCAGGATTCTTTTCCTGTCCCCAGGTCTAAGGTCAGAAAAGGAGAAGGGCAAGGTCAAGGTGACTCTCACCGGCAATAGTTCCGAGTTCCTGCAAGACAGAGCTGGACCACTTGGTGGGATCCCCAAACACAACGGCTGCCTTCCTCTTGAACTCGGCCAAGACCTGGGTGCTGCAGGGCAGGGTCCCGATTCTGGCCACCACCACCCTGGTGAAGAGGGAGGGACACCGTGTGAGCTTGGGAGTCTCTCCAGCCAAAAAAGGTGCCGGCTCAGCACCAGGAAAGGACCCAGCTAACCCCACCCCGTCTGTGCCCAGAAGGCTGGCCAGGCATCAGAAGCAGAGGATCTGCTGAAGGAACGACCTGCCCGTCCTTGGCCATTTTGCACACTTTTACTTGGTCACCTGAATTCTGAGATCTGTATAAGTGAGATGTCGGTGACATCCATGGCACACAGGGTTGTACCAAGTCCTACTAAGTGGAAGCTCTTCAGGTCCTGGATGCGGTAGCCCGAGTCCTCCAGGAACCCTCGCAGGATGGATTTAGCCTAAAAAATGAAGGGGGTGGGAGATGAAGTACCCAGGGGAGATCAAGAGGCCTGAGGGGAGAGCTCAGCAGCCTCCTGGTGGGTCCCCACCCACTCCCAGACCCAGCGCCCATTCCAGCCATGGCGCCCCTGCACCGGCTGGCCTCCAGGTCTGTGCTCCGGTCTAAGGAAGTGTCTGTAGGCAGAAGTTCTTGCAGCCTCCACCAACATTAAAGGAACTGCCTCCTGGCTTTGCCTCAGTCACTCATGATCTTCAGAAGCTTGGACATTTAAGTTCTTCTGCACCAGAATCCAAACTTTTCCAATAACTGTTTCCACAGATTTCTGACAAAACCGTACACTCGTCTGCCTTTGAGCAGGTGCTCAAATCAGTCCTTCCATCTGAAATGTCATTCCTCATTCCCACTATTAAAATTCAACCATCCTTTTATTTGGGGGGTTCAAGTCCAATGTCATCTTCTCCTTGAAGTCTTTCCTGACTATCTGAGCCAGAATGAACCTTTCTTTCTCTAAGGTCCTACATAAGTTGCCCTCATTCTTCAGTTCCAGAGAGCAGCACATCAAATGCTGTGGTGTTGAAAAAACACGGGATCTCTTCAATGAACTTTCCTGTAAGGGGGCTGATGTGTAGGGTCCCTGAAATTCTACACCATGGCCATCCATTGTTTATGACCTTTCTAGGGGGCATTCTGAGTTCCAGGGGTGATCCCATGGCCTGGGTGACCAGCTAAGTCATCTCTTAGCTGGACTGCAGTAACTGGTTCTAGATTGGACGTGTGATCCAGTCAAAGCCTACCAGGACTTTAGCTGGAATAATTAGGAGAGAAAAGCTTTCTTTACTCTGGACTGGACCTGGGAAGGAAAAACACCTGACTCTACTAGAACTCATCACATGGAAAGAACCTGCCTCTAATGAAGCCAACCAAAAGGAAAGCTGGGTCCAAAGTGGCAGGAGCCCGGCCAGCATGGCTCAGTGGTTGAGCATCGACCTATGAGCCAGGAGGTCATGGTTCGATTTCGGGTCAGGGCACATGCCCAGGTTGTGGGCTCAGTCACCAGTGTGGGGCGTGCAGGAGGCAGCCAATGAATGGTTCTTCTCTCATCACTGATGTTTCTGTCTTTCTCTCCCTCCCTCTTTCTCTCTGAGATCAATAAAAATATCTTTTTAAATGGTGGGAGACAGAATCCTAATAATAGTGTTGAAGTCCCTGGATCCAGCCATATCTGAACTCTACACTTGAACTTTGCAGTTGTGGGAATCAATAAATTCCTTTTCTTGCTCAAGCCACTTTGAGTTGGGCTTCCTGCCACTTGTAACGAAATGAGCCCTGATAGTATTTGATCTGCCTGCGCTGGCCCTGAGGAAGGATCTGAGTCAATCTACTGGAGAAGAGCTGCGTGAGAAAGTCTGGTGCCTCAGTGCTTGTGGGGGCCGCCGCAAAGATACAAGAGGACAAGAGCTCACACGGCAAAGCTGGGGAGGAGACAGCCAAGGACGAGCACCTCTTGGATGGGAGTGAGGATCACAGGGACACCGTGAACGTCCTGTGTTCCTTTAACCTCAGTCCATCCCCCCCCCGCCCCCCACACCAGGAGAATCATGCAGTGTTGAAAGTTCTGACAATGATTGGGATATTTTTTAAAAATGTGACTTGTAGCAATGGAATTCCAGTGTTCATGTGGCTGTTGCTTTCCCATCTCAAGCAGCCTCCCTCCGTGCTGTTCCTGTGAGTGCTTTGTCCACTTGATCCTTCTCACTTATCACAATTTTTTAAATTTTCCACCTTAATTGCTCGGTTTTTTGTCTGTATCACCAAGTAGAACCAATAAAGACACACCTTACCCAGCCAGTTCACTATTGTATCCCCAGCACCGAGCACAATGCCCAGCACACAGTGGAGAATGGGGAATGAAGGGCAGCCGAACGGCGAGCTACAGAAGTTGTCGGCAATGTGTACTCCTGGGAAATGGCAGCAGATGCTGCCTCCATGTGGTGGGTGGGCTTCAGGGAGATTCCCATGTTTCCGTAATGATGGCCAAGCTCACAGTCCCAATGGGAACTTCAGTGACACCACACTCACTTCAGTGTCTTTGACTGGCATGTACACGCACCCAAAATAATAGCTAATAATACTGAATGCCTACTGCGTGCCAGCACTTCACCTACCCCGCCTCACCTACTCATCACAGCCACCCCATGAAGTATGAATATTATCCTACTTCACAGAGGAGGAAACTGAGGTGCAGAGAGATTAAGTAACTGAGCCCAGGCTGCACAGCTAGTAAATAACAGTCCTAGGATAACACTCGCAGGCGGACCCCGGAGCCTGCCCTCCTGAAGACGTCGGGTCCGAGAAAAGGTAGAGATAGACTCTTTATGAGTCTTCACAACCAGGTTTCACTAATTGGTTCGTAGCAATATGTGCTCCCCCAACTATCAGGCATGCCCATTTTAAAATGAAAGTGCAAAAATACAATTGAAATAAAATGACTTGGAAGATGTGGTATTAAATCGTCCTCGCCACTGGAAGCTGGAAAGCGCAAGCTCAGCCTGCCCGGTGAGGAGCTAAACCACAGTTACTTGAATGACTGGACCAGGGTATCTGTAATGATCCCAGCACAATTAATACTAATACTCTTAGGCAATAATACCCACTGAACAAGGAAGAGCTGTAAGCTCTGATCTCTGTTCATTCGCCAGCTTCTAGAAGAGGTTATTTCTCCTGCTGCTGGTTTTAAGCTGACTCGCTGTTAATGCAGTTCCGCCCGGTCTATTAATCGAGGACATGCACTTAAGGGTTTGATTGACAGCAAATGGTGAGGAACTGAGCACAAATGATACAAGCAAATATTAGGTTTGCACATTTCTTCAAACATATGGACAAATCTCAGTGCGACCCGTGGAAGTTAAAATTGCTGCAAAAGGAAAGAGACACTCTAGCTCCCAAGTTGGGTATGTTTTTCTGCTCTCTCCCAGACTGTGGCTAGGAAGGTTTTGATATCAAAATGTGGTATGGCACTTCTCAAACCAGTCAAAACCAGTTTGCGAGCCGCAGAACCTCAGTACTACGGAATGTCAGAGTGGAAGGAACCTGATCGCTGCGTCTAACCTTCTCATCTTGCAAATGAGGAGACCATTCAACTGCCAGAAGGAGAAAGTGTAATGATGACGATGCTGACGATGCTGATGCTGACAATGAAAACAACTAATTCTGACTGAACGCTCTGTGCCAGGCGTTGTTCGGTGCTTCACATGTATTAGCTCATGGAAGCCTCGTGGCCAGGACCTCCACATCACCCAGCTCCAGCGGACACAACGCACACCTGTCCTATCTGAGTGGGGCCACTCAGCCTTACGTGGCACGAGTTCCTGAGCGTGGGGGACACGCCTTGGTTTGCCTGCCCTGCATCCATTCTCTCTTTGTTGACACCATGCCTTTGGCAAACCACTCAGTATGTATTCCCTCTTGCTGCTCTAACTCCTTACCACAAACGCAGTGGGTTAACACAAAACACACGCATTCTGTCACAGTCCCTGAGCTCCTAAGTCCTAAAGTGGGTCGGAGGGCGTTCTTCCTGGAGCCTAGAGAGAAGTCCTCCCCTTGCCTCTGGCTTTCCACCCCTGACTCAGCCCACCCCGCAGCCAGCAGCACCGCACCTCGGGTCTCTGTCCTCCGCTTCCATCATCACGCCCTCTGTCTGCGGCCCTCCTGCCTCCGTTTAAGAGAACACTTATGATCACATTGGGTTCACCGGACAATCCAGGGTAACTCTCCATCTCAAGGTCCTTAAATTAACCACATCTGCAAAGTGCTTTGCCACACAAGCTAACATATTCACGGGTCCTAGGGATCAGGACCCAGACACCTTTGGGGACCTGGATGAAGCCTACCATACACCCATCCCGCTCTCAGTTCATCTGGACATGGGGAGATGGAGCCACTCCCTAACCAGCAGCATATTCTACCCCGACCACAGCGGCTGTCAGGAGAGGCAGTCACATGAGAGAGTCAATTCTGGGACTTTTTCTTTTTACATATACTAGAGGCCCAGTGCACAAATTTGTGCACCGGTGGGGTTCAGCCAGCCTGCCCTGATGGGGGCCGATAGGGCCCGGCCGTCCAGGGGGAGGGGCCACAGGCTGTTGGCGGGCTGGCTCCACCCCCTGGTCGGACTCTGGTCAAACTCCCAGTCGAGGGGACAATTTGCATATTACCCTTTTATTATATAGGACTAGTGTCCCGGTGCATGGATTTGTGCACATTGAAAGGAAATTAACTAGAAGAAATATTTTAATATCGCTATTTTCCCTTTCTCTATAATAGAAGTGTCAACCAAATTCATGATCAACAATGACAGACCGAAACACACACGTGCAAATGGCGCCAGTGAGAGCTTTATATGTATCACTCATGTGTGAGTCAACTTAGCCATATATATATAAACTTGCTTAATTAGACCTGCTTTCTGATTTAGCTAAACTTTTTCCAGCCCAGTGAGGCAACCCAACTTCTCTTTCAGGTAATTGTCAGCAACACAGCAGTAAATATCAACATGATGTAGATTATTATTGTAAATAATGCAGGGAGAACAAAGGATAAGATATTTAACTGCAGCAGTGTCTGACTATATTCTGTGCAGTGAGAAAACCCGAAGTCATTTTAAGGTCCACCATTTCTTACTTCTTTTCAGTCGGGTCAAGTTTCTAAACTTTCTAAATCTCCATTTTCCAGCTAATGAAAAGAAAATAGGATTCTACCAAGTTTCCTATCTACCTACTCCAGGACTTCTGTGAGGATCAAATGAGATGAGGCACAGGAAAATGCTTCACATACATTTGGTTAAATTGTAAAATGTTTGCACCTGGCTATAAAGCAAGCTAGATTCCTGGGTTGAAGAAACTGCGAGGAGGCTAGTCGCTAGGGAGAGGAAGCCGGGCGTTGCTACATGACATCATTACCTAGTGCCCACAGTGACTGTTTCGGGCTGGGCTGGGCTGGGCTGGGCTGTGGGCCGCATTTTGCACCATGGGGTCTTGGCAGCGTTGGCTGCAATTTGGAGAGGTGTCACTCCAGGGTGGTGGTGGGGCCTGTGTCCCACTTAGGGGAAGCCGAGTGTTGGTTTGTTGGTACCAGGTCCATGGTGCCGTTTATTTTTAAATGGCCAGTGTGTGTCATGGCAGCTCCTGTGTTGAGCGTCTGCCCCCTAGCCAGCAGGGGGGCAGTTGGAGGCAACCAGGCTGTCAGGGGGTTAGTTAGGGAGCAACCAGGCCAGTAGGGGGGCAGGTAGGGGGCCATCAGTGTGCATCATAGCTACCTGTCATGATGAGAGAGAATCATGGATCGGCTGCCTCCTGCACACCCCCCACTGGGGATCGAGCCCACAGCCCAAGCATGTGCCCTTGACTGGAATCAAACCCAGGACCCTTCAGTCCCCGGGCTGACACTCTATCCACTGAGCCAACCCGGCCAGGGCAATGCTTGGACTTTTTCAAAGACTGATGAGGAAGGGTAGTTTTTGTGGGTTGTTAATTAGATCATGTGTGAGCCTAGTGCTAAAGATGACCCTGAGAATGAGGTAACACAGAGCGGCGGAGACCCCCTCGCTAGCAATACATTAACTGCCCTCCCAATTGAAACAAATTCTGGAGAGAACTTCTTTAGCACATGAAGGATTAACCGACACAGGACTCGCCCTCCAACAAAAAAAACAACAAGAAAACTGAACAAATCATATAAAAGGACTGTCTTCAGATGTTGGACAACAAGCAGCATAGGACTATAATCCTAAGAAAAGGAAAGCAAGTAAGGTGACCCCTAAAACTGCCCTTGTTCACTGCCCAAAGGCCATTTCCAGGCCGTGGAGCAGGGAAGAGAATCCAAACACCTCCAGTGGCCAGGCTTTATTCGAGGATAAGGAGATTTTCGTTTAAGAGAGGCAGGGGCCCC